TCTAATTTATCCAGTAAATTATTCTCACCGATAGAAAATAATTATTCACACACAAAAATATTTTGTTGTAATTGAAGGGCTCATGAAACTAGAAAAAAATCCAAGGTTGCAATATAGTCACGGAATTTCAGAGGTCTAAATAAATTCAAGGATGATAAAATTCAACTTTATTCAATATTTTGAATATTGTTAATTTTTCATTGAATATCTCGAAAACGTCGGAGAGTAGCAAAATTTTTGTTGAGACCTGTTTGGTGAATGACTAGATTTAGGGTGGATGTGGGATGAAAATGTGGAGGGAGCTGTTGGGAAAATTATTGATGAGCTGGATTTAAAAAATCACACTTTATTTTGTGGGATCGAACCACTTTGTCAAAACTTATGTACACTCTTTGGTAATATGTAATTTCACTGGTGATAGTCTAATTTCACTGATGATTGTCTTTGCACGTTAATTTGGTGAGTCACTGAATTTAAACTGAATTTAATCAATAGAGGTGATGTACTGAATGAAGGTATTCAATTTTGAATGCTAATTGACTGAATCGACTTCTCGATATGAACTCTTACTAATGTTGATTAATACTCGTTAATAACTATTCGGTGAATTACTACACGTTGAATTACTCGCTGAGTTCTACTTGATACTTGTGGACTAGTTGAGAGACTACTACTTAGTTGATGTGAACTCGTTGAAATACGAATGGATACTATACAACGTCTACAGGTGATTTGCTCGAGATAGACTTATACGGTGAGAGGCTAAGCCTAAACTGGTTCGCGCGTGTTTCGGTCACTTATGACTGATGACCCGAAGGGTCCCGGAGGTTTTCGAAGTAGGCCGAGCTAGTCGACCAGAATGTTCTGGAATTTTAGTTGCGCTTCAAACAGACCATTTTTATAGAGCAAATAAAGATCTACAAAAAAGTTTATAATGAAAATGTGGCTACCACCCACAGATTCGGAGATATTCATCAAAAACCCAGCTGACGGCTATTGCGTTGAGCGCAGCAGGAGGTTTGAATAAGTTGCGCATGGCGCCAATCACGTGACTCATGGCACTGGCGCAGGGAGGGGAACAGCTGACGCGTTGCGCCGACTGCTCCGAAATTGCTACTATAATGTATAATAAATTAACGGTATATTTTGGGCTATAAGTTCCTAACTCCTCCCGATAGGAAATTTTCTCAGCTACAAAGAATTTTTTTTTCCCCATCTGGTGAGGTTAACTAAAGATATCTACGATTGAAGACGGCCTGTCGTCAATTCCCAATTGTTTATAACAAATTGTGAATCACCCCGGCAAATTTGAGCATATACTTTTTAAAACATTAATAATTACACTTTTAGCTATCGATTGGTGTAATTTGGTACCCTTTAAATCTTTGGCTTCCGGATGGATGCCGCGTTTGGATTCAGCGTTGCGCCGACGTTTCGCAAACATTGCAGTCTGCATCTTCAGGGCTATGAGCTCCGATTCTGAGCTCCGATGTCTAGGGGTAGTCCTTATATGCCTTCTCTTGTGGTGGTGGGGGAAGGGGAAGGGGGGGTGGTCAGCCAATCATATATTTTTAATTGATTAGCTGGTCAACATCATCTGGCCACATGGAAAGACTGCTCTAACTGAATTCCTGGAGTTCTTGAATACTCAGCACGTGAGCATCAAGTTCACTATGGAAATTGAACAAGATCCATTCCTAGATGTCCTGGTTCGACGCAACAAGGACGGCACTCTAGACCACCAAGTATATCGCAAGCCAACCCACACAGATAGGTATCTCAATGCTACCTCCCATCACCACCCCTCCCAGAAGAATTCCGTTATTAGCTCCCTAATGTATAGAGCACTTACAATCTCTCAACCCTCCAACGTTGACAGTGAAGTTGAACATCTTGAGATAGCTCTGACCAAGAATGGATATAACATCCAATAAATTCGGAAGGTCAAGCAGAAGCTACAGAGCAAGCTCTCATCTCCCGAAAAGGAGACTAATCCTGAGGAAAACCAGGAAAGACCAAAAGTGGCCCTCCTCCCCTATCTGAGAGGCACAACAGAACGCATAAGTAGAGTACTTGGCAAACATAACATTCGAACGATCTTCCAGCCTCCAAAGAAGATCGGACAGATCCTGCCAAGTGCAAAGGATCCAAGACCACCTCTGAGGACACCAGGAGTGTACGAGATCCCCTGCTCATGCGGGAAAGTGTACATTGGAGAAACCGGGAGGAAGATCAGTACACGGATCAAGGAACACCAGCGGTGCTCCAAATACGGTCACTTAGAACAGTCTGCCCTGGCTGAACACTGGATGGACACTGAACATACTATCCAGTATGACCAAGCCAGAATGTTGGCCAAATCTCAAGGGTATTTCGAAAGAAAATACCGAGAGGGTTTGGAGATCCATAAAAACCCTAACAACCTCAACAGGGAAAGAGGATATCAAATGAACCCCATTTGGAAAACCGTCCTCCCGGTTTTTTAATTGACCAGCTGATCAATTAAAAATATATGGTTGGCTGACCACCCCCCCCCCTGCCCCTTCCCCCACCACCACAAGGGAAGGCATATAAGGACTACCCCTAGACATCGGAGCTCAGAATCGGAGCTCATAGCCCTGAAGATGCAGACTGCAATGTTTGCAAAACGTCGGCGCAACGCTGAATCCAAACGCGGCATCCATCCGGAAGCCAAAGATTTCATTAATCATGGCCGCGAAAGCCTCAAAACTAAGATTGGTACCCTTTGGTCAATTTCGATATACAAAATCTAATTTGACTGGACTAATAGACGATTAAAAGAAATTCACTTTCTGTCTGATATCAATAAAATAGGCGCCACCATCTGCGCTAACCCCCCCTCGTCATCGAGTCCCTGGTCGATCCTAGTGCCACCTATAACATCAGTGAGCCCGGTTTCGTGTGCCAAGTCGAGTGTACGGAGTTCGGCCTCCTTTCCTCCATTCTTCATGCCCATAAGGTCCAGTTAGTATAGAGATCAGTGCCCCAACAGTGGAAACTTATAACGCCGAACCAATCAGAAGAGAGGATTTCACTTATCCCTTCTCCGTTTCCCTGACCAATCACAATCCATCAGCAAACCCTCACTGCCCTTAAATACCCGAACACTCGCAACATCGACAGATACAACTCAACTTTTCTGGAAACTCAACTCGCTTAAACCCAGAGGAAAATGATTTATCACTCGAACTCCCTAGTTCACTCACAGATCAATCGGGTTGAAATTTCGCGCAGAGTTAGTCTTCCTTAAGACATATAATCTGACAAAATTTCTGATTTTTTGGAATCACTTTAGCCATTTAATTACTCAATTGTCTAGAAGAATGAACACCGGGAAGGTGGATATAGTCACATACAGACATGATCGCTTCGTATTTTTACGTTTAAGACCATTCTATATCATTTCCAATCAAAATGAGAGAATGTGAAAATGGAAGGATTGCAATGCTTCCATTCGGAAGAAGAAAACTTGAACGGATGCATGCGTTATTCAGAAGTCAGTCGTATTTACTGTTACATTACGAATGAAGAACCTGACGGAAGAGTAACTAAGAAAGAGGGGAATTTTATGATGGCTGGACATGGCTTCAGTAACCAAAAGGTGTATCACTTGACCAGCCATTCAATCTAGCCAACTTGCACTTTGCATTGTTGTGTATGCAACTAACAATGATTGGGGTCCCTAAGCTGTCCGCCATGTTCCCTAGATTTTCGTGGAAATTTCGAATACAGAGTAAAGAAAAAGTGTAAAATAACAATATGATTGATATATATGTCATTATTTTGCATTTTTATATTGCTTAAATAGGGAACTTGCATGAAGCTCAATTCTTTCTAATTCTCCTATTCACACATTCCTCACAACATATGGATAGCTAACCGACGAAAATTGTGAAGGAATATTGCCTAGATGTCTTATGATTATTAATCGAAAATCCGTCGTTTTCGAGGCCAATTTTTCGGTTATAATGTCACGAAGACGGTCAGGTACCGCTTTAGCATCAGCCGCATTGGTTCAAAAAGAAGACAGTGGGGAGTTGTTCTCCATTTTCCGAGGCACATTTCAAAATTGAGTTAGGTCGACCCAAATAGTTCTGTGATTGTTCCAGCACTTGATCGTCTGTGTGACCTCATTAACGATTTCAAAGCGTTTGCAATCTTCAACTTTTTGGCAATTAATTACTAATTAATGAGCAATATTTCGAACGTTTGTGAATGAAAAATGAATTATTCAGGATCCAAACGAGATTAGAAAATTGAAAACAAAAAGCATGCAAGTTCCCTATTCTGAGAAGCATCGGACCATTCATCAGGTTATTTCATTGAAAATTTACCACATCGGTACTTTTTGACCTTTTGTCAACCCCTCTTTCCCGAAAATTGGTAACTCCTCATGGATGCTGAGTTTTGGAGAGAATCTCACGAGCAGAGATTTGGAGAAAAAATAATAGTTGTAATTACTTCTAGCCCAAATGTGGAAAGATTTAGATCGGATAAATAGCGAATTATAAAGTCAAGATTATAAATTCAAACGAAAATTGTCAATATTCATCAAGAATTGTAAGTTTGAGAAATTTTTAATTGTGAATTATCATCAATTTGTGGAATTGTGAATAATATAAACTCGAGTGACTATTTTTCCAATATTTAACGAAATACAAGACTTTGAGCGTGAGCTAAATCTGCGTTTTAAAACTTATTTATCCTCCCTGCGTAGAGGATACTAAAGCACTCACTGAGTAGAGGGCTTTAGCACTCCAGGGGCAACGGACCTGCTAGCTGAACATAAAATCAAAAAACTTAAAATTGCACACAACAGCTTACGACATAGTCCAGAAAATACACACCACTTGAACCGTGATGCCGATGAATTACTTGCTATATAGTTAAACACTTCTTGAATTGCACAATAAATATTTTAAAATAAATGGACACGTAGATAGATTTTGGAGACATTGAGTATTTTAGATTTTGTTAGATAAGATATTTAATTTGTTTATTTTTCAACTGAATATAGAAAAGTTACAAAAGTTTTTTGATGATAAAACATTCCATTCTTGCTCAATATATTTAAAGAATCTGCGTAATCTTAGTACGAGATAGAGAATAGTGTCATTGGAATCTCTGTGAAATAGCCATTAGTAGTCTCCGTCAGCTTTATCTTCCGACTAGTCGTAACGTCGATTTGTTCCAGAATTTGAGAAAACACACCGAAAATGATGTTTCTTATCCCTTCGAAAAATTGGGGATAGGAAGATTAGCTTATTTTTCAATGGTATGAAAATTTCCCGGTGTACTCAATCATGCACGAAAAAACCTTGCATTCGGAATCAAAATTCTACAGAAAAAAATAGCGCATTCGCTAGAAAATAGAATGGACCTTCTATTGGCAATTGTATTAATTTTTTTTTGCTGATTCCATGGAAAAATTTCGCAGTTTATATGGACGTTCTCTTGCAATAGAGAATGTTTAATAAAAAATATCCATGAACAAAAAAGATTGTTTTTACAGGAATCCCTTGGCATAAATTTAAGTAGCTTCATTTTATTTTTCCCCTTCATTAGACGAATTAATCGAAAAACTTGAAAAATTTAGATCAAGAAATGTCTATAGAAAACATCATAAAAGAATACATTGTACAGATAAATTGAAATCTACCGATTTATTGTACGAAATATTTTCCACTGAACATTCCCATTGGAAAAAACGCACTGAAAAAGCCACGGAATTCTTCAACAGAATCGGCGAAAAACCGAGAAATTTTTCCTGTAGAAATTCAATCGAATTTTCTAACGATTGCGGTAGGTTTTTATCTGAATTTTTTTTGTACGTGACGAGGATATTTTCGAATTTTAACTGGCCTGGGCACCAACTCATCGCAAAGAATTACTCAAAAATGTGTAAGTGAATATGGTGAATGTTTTATGGATCGTTTTCTGCATTTGTCTTCCTGAATAACGCTATGAAAAAACCTGCAGAGTCACCCTCAGGCCCAAAACGCAGTACTTTCTGAGCATCGGCAGAATTAAAGCCACGAATAGTGTACCCTGGTGACACTGGAAACTCTCTCAATTCGAAGGACTCATACTTCTCCCTGGCTGAGATCAATTCTAGACAGGGGAATGTCTTCAACGCCCAGGCGACAATGCTCTCGTTCTCGAAAATAGTCACAGTGCACGTCGCGTACACCAGGGTCCCTCCATCCTTCAGAAGATCAACAGCCTAAAGAACACAATCAAAAACATTAGAAAAAAAATTTTCATCCGAAAAAAAATCTCCTGAAAATTCTCTCCAATCATTTCCCTGGATTTTTAAAAATATCTGGGGTTCTTGCGATCGAAAGCATTGAATAAGTGCAGATCCACGCCAGCAGGCTAAAAAAGTCAACGCTGGGGATTTTCTTCTCAAGTTTTTTACGAAAAGATGGCGATTAGACAAAAATTGTGAAAAAAAAATTCAAAAATATTAATAATCGATTTTTGGAAAATTTCGAGTTTTTGTTAATGATTTTTTTTGTTTACATTGGCCTCAATATCCAGCGGGGTTTCAAGCTATCAAATCGCCCTTTGGCTCACTCAAAGAACATGAAAAACCCTTCAAAATGAGCCGTCATATATAGTCATTATCTTCATTATGACGCGGTTTACACGAGAAAACGTGCTTTTTTTCAATCGTTAATTACTCAAAACGCTCATTTTTAAAGAATCAGAAATTTTCACCAATAATTGTCAATAAAATGACTAGAATTTTGGCGCCTATTAGAGTTTGTCTTTCGCCATAATTCGGCGGTTATTAATTTTTTCAGTGAGGCAAGTATTGAAAATGACCAAAAATCATTATTATTCATGCAATCAACCCTTAAATAAGTGAATATTCAATTAAATATGACCAAATGGTAAGGCTGGACTCATTATATCTTCTATAATATATCTTCAGCATGATTTTTGAGTGGAAAAAGATTATTTCTCTGATTATATCCTTGGCGAAAGAAGTTGAGAGTTGGACTCTATTTGTTTCCACGATTAGAGAGAAAAGACAGAGTTTAGTGAGAGTTCACGTAAGATGGCACCTCTCCCTGACTTCTCTACAGGTTTTGATAATTGAGTGTTAGGTTGTGGACTCAGGGGGTAATTCTCACTTACATCTCTATTATTTTGAATATTTGAATGTTGGGTTTTAGGATACAGGGTTAACAATCACTAAATTCTGTACGCTTTTTTATGGTCGATTGTTGGATTTTAAGCTCCAAGTGTGACACCTCAACTGTCTACGATTTTGGATAATTGACTGCCCAATTTTGGGGGCCAGTGGGATTCATACATTCTGACCCTTGCATTTTCAGACCCTTATCACTCTTGACCCTTAAAATGTCTGACCCTACAAAATGTTGAAAGGTCGAAGTTATGACTCATTTTTTCTGACCTTTAAAACGAGGGTCCGTTGCAGACCCTTCATGTCCTTGAACTTTTAAAACTTATTATTTCTGACCGTTCAAATGGATCAACTCTCTACTCTCTACAATTTCTAGAGAGTGGATAGTTGGGGTCGGGAATTTAGTGGGGGTAACTCTCTACAATTTCTAGAGAGTGGATAGGTGGGTTCAACTACTTTGTGACCCTCAAAATGGAGACACTTTGCAGACCCTTGTGGTTCCTGACCCGTAAAATTGCAGACCCTACAAAATGTTGGAACAGGGAACTTTTGACGCTCATTTTTTCTGACCCCTAAAACGAGAGTCCGTTGCAGACCTTTCATGTTCTTGACCCTTAAAATGTCTGACACTTGAAAATATGGAATCAGCGAACTTTGAAAACTTATTGTTTCTGACGTTTCAAGTTGATCGACTCTCTACTCTCTACAATTTCTAGAGAGTGGATAGTTGTGGTCGGGAGCTTAGTGGGGGTAATTCTCTACTCTCTCTAATTTGTAGATCGGAGAGTTGGGGTCGGAAACTTGGTGGAGGTAACTATCTACTCTCCACAATTTGTAGGGGGTGGATAGATGGTATTGAAGTATTTTTTTAGATTTAGTTCATTGCCGTTTTTAATAGGTACAGCCTTGTTACAGCATAAATAAGAAGCATAATAGTGTGAATACAAAGCAATCCAATGAGGATATTAATAAGTACAAATAAGCTTAGAATAAAAGTAAACATAAAAAAAAAGTAAANGGTAGAGTGGAGAGTTGAGGTCGGAAACTTGGTGGAGGTAACTATCTACTCTCCACAATTTGTAGGGGGTGGATAGATGGTATTGAAGTATTTTTTTAGATTTAGTTTATTGCCGTTTTTAATAGGTACAGCCTTGTTACAGCATAAATAAGAAGCATAATAGTGTGAATACAAAGCAATCCAATGAGGATATTAATAAGTACAAATAAGCTTAGAATAAAAGTAAACATAAAAAAAAAGTAAAAGTGGTTTGGGAGGAACGATCCGTAAATTACCAGGCAGATGAAGTTAACAAAAGCAGAGACCTAATAAAAAGACGTTGTAGGCTACCCTAGGTGGTATGATAGCTGCATTAAAAAATCAGAAAAATAAATGATAAAAAATATGGAACAAATAACTGACACAAAAACAAAATTCTTGGGAAAAAGCCGAAGCATAAAAAACCCAGATATATTTACTTCGATATAAGATCTAAACGATTAACTGCGAATGACGTTATTCACACACACACATATGCATCCATACATCAATGTTTGTCTAGGAACGCATAGGCGAACTGTCGACTGAATATGTAGACACACACGCGCACTGATAAATAACGATAGGATAAATCCCACACTGAATGTTCAGGTGGAATAAGTTAGGATTGCGCAATTTAATAATCACGACTTCGATATCGTGGCTTCGGTGCCACGTGTGACACGAAATCGTTGGATTTCGTGTCTTAGATTCAGATTTTTGATTGATAGCTTTTAGGTTTTTTCGTCACTATAGTTTGTGAATGAAAACGATTGATTGATAGATGGTTCCTTTCGGGTGATTATTTTGTCGATTATGACAACGATAAAGTCAGGATGACTTGTCAAATGATTGACTTGCAGTTGCAAACGAAACACACACTTGTGGCGTCGGTTAGACTCTGACATCATCGAGCGTCCCCGCATGCTCGGACCCGCCAGACTGGCGCATGGTGGCACCGCCACCCATTGTCGCCAACATACCAAGCGCGATTATATTCAAATACATGTTATGATGGAACATACTCCCGGCGAAAGCTGCGNGTAAAAGTGGTTTGGGAGGAACGATCCGTAAATTACCAGGCAGATGAAGTTAACAAAAGCAGAGACCTAATTACAAGCGTGTAAAGACTTCAAATATAAATAAGAATAGAGCGGAAAGCAGTCCAGAGGAAAAAATTAAAAACGGATCATTCGTATTCGTGAAGCGTTGTATGAATAGAAAAACATGAGAATGATCGCAAGTTAATCACGAGGGAAAAGGAGCCTCCGGAGGTCTAAAGTAGTCGGTGATGAGACTGACTCTGTTGGAACTAGTGGGAGGTAATGGGGGGATAGGGAACGAGAGCGACATTTGAGGGAACATTTAAGGAAAAAAAACAGGGTTTTGGTGGAGCAGGGTTAGTCTGAGGCCAGGAAGTCCGTGAGAGCCTTCAGCATGTCTTCAGGGGTGCCACCCAAAGGTATGTGGTCACTTAGCAGTGAGTTGCGGTAGGCCGCATAGAGCGGACAGAATAGCAGGATGTGACCTAGGTTTTCCAGAGCCCCACTGGAACAGACTTGGCAGGGTTGCAATCGTATAAAATACCTCTTTGATAGCGAAGGACATCCGGAGAGTTTTCGCCATCGATTGAGCCTTGAATCTCGTCATGACCAGCGGTAAGCGTTGCTGTAGGTAGCTTGCAGGTGCACCGGAAGAGAGCCTGGGTACCTGCAGCTGTACAAACGAAGACCAACACGCTCGCACTCGGTCCAACTCCAGGAGGTGGAGTTTCAGAGCAGAAATCACTCTGGGTTCTTCTCTGACCCAGTAGGAGACATCGGGGTTGGTGGCGTCGAATATGATGCTATGGGGACTCAGGAGGGCTTCAAGCTGAAGGATCGG